TAAGCAATCAAATCAGATAGAAAGGAAAGGAATAGAATAGAATTCTTTATTGGCCATGTGTGATTGGACACACAAGGAATTTGTCTTTGGTGCAAATGCTCTCAGTGTACATAAAAGAAAAGATACATTTATCAGGTACAACACTTAATGATAGTCATAGTGTACAATAAGCAATCAAATCAGATAGAAAGGAAAGGAATAGAATAGAATTCTTGATTGGCCAAGTGTGATTGGACACACAAGGAATTTGTCTTGGTACAAATGCTCTCAGTGTACATAAAAGAAAAAAATATTTTCATCAAGGATCAAGAATGATAAGGTGGAACACTTAATGATAGTCATAGGGTACAATAAGCAATCAGGTAGGTAGGTAGGTAGGAAGACAAAAGAGAATAGAATCCTTTATTGGACACACAAGGAATTTGTCTTGGTGCAAATACTCTCAGTATATATAAAATATAACATTTGTCAAGAATCATAAGTTCACTCAGGTTGCCAGCAGTGGCTCCCCAGCAGGGCTGAAAATGAGGGTCAAACATTTGGATGCAAAGCAAGTATTGTGTCCAAGGACATTTTTCTTACACCTGGAAACTATATTATTAGCTCCATTTTTTATGGCAGGCCAAGGCTATGTGGAGCAGAATAGCAAGCCCCATGGACGTGACTGGAGAAAGGGGGGACAATATATGACTCCCCCCCCCCCACAAGGTTTGGTATTTTAAAAAGGAGCATTAAGTGGCCTTGAACAGCTTTGCAGACTCAAAAAAGGGGAACAGGGTCAGTTGGGGGGGAGGTGTAGTTTGCCCATCCCTCTTGCACTTTCTCTCGAAAGGCAAATGCATCACCTGACTTAAATTGACAATTATTTCCATTACCTAAATCATTGATTAAATGTCAGTCATCTTAATGACCCCATAATCTCCTGAGGGATGGAGTTTAATTATTAGTTAAATGTCAATAAAAGCCTTAAAATAGGAGAGAGAAACCATATTTCGTGATTCTTCCTTTATGTAAATTTTATTGCTTACAAGTGTATTTGCACAGTGTTCTTACATTTAACCGAACAGCTCGTTACAGAGTGCAGAAATCTACTGAAGCATCGGTGAAACAGACAATTCGGTTATTAACGAGTCTCTTCTGCAGTGGAGCAATTTTCACTTTTGCGTTTTAAAACGCCAACGGAAAGCCATACATTCTTTCAAATGGAACAGCTGAAATGCTAAGGAACGGGCCTACATAAAACTACCAGCAGGACTTTTGAGGGACAAAAACATTCGAACGACACCAACACGAGCACGGGCGATCAAGCACACAGGCCTTTCGCATCGGATGTTTCTGGAGCGCGAGGGATTGTTGCAGAACTGGCAACGTGGCTTCGTGGGCTTCCTGGATCACCGTCTACGCAGGAGGCTGGCGCTTTTCCACGCCAGCGTAACGCGCCACACAAGGGGTGCTTTCAGACCCAGGAGACAAGCCTGTCCTCACAAGCCGACGGCTTCCCTTTTTGCACGTTTCCCCCGCTAAACGCTACACAGCCACAAGAGTTGTGGAAATGTCGCAGTTCCACCGTGGAGTACAACAACAAAAGATGGAGGCAGCCCAGCAGATGAGGCATGAAAGGCTAGGTGTCTGTTGCATGCAGAGCAGCGGGGGAAGCGGCTGGACGGACAGCGGGACCAGTCACAGACGGCATGGGGTGTACATGGCAGCGCATTTGGCCTTCCTTTCGGGGCTGGCGCATAAGCAGCCACACTTTGGAAAAAGACAGAGGGGCCTTCCCTTGGCTTTTTGCTCTTCGGGAAGACATCCCTCGGATGACATCAGACGCCCATACAGCTTACCTTCCAAAACCAAAAAGGGGGAGCTAAGGGTGCCAAGGGAGGGGGCCCCGGGCATCCTGTGAGGGGCGCTGCCTCTCGTCTGAGCAGGCTGGAGCAGCTGCAATCACAGGGGGATGCTGCACCAGAGAGGTGGTTTCGTCCTCCTCTAAGAGCTGTGATTGCGCTGTCAAACTGAAAAAAAGGCCTTGGTTACACTGAGTACGTCCGGAGTTCGGCTCTTTTAACAGGCTGGCCAAATTTCTTTTAAAAAAAATAAAAAAATTCCTAAGACTTCTCCCCAATTTGTGTCCCCGGGGCCAAACCTATATCAATCACACCCCGCCCCCTTAGCAAACTGGCAACTATGGTACATGTTAAATTGCCAAAGCTTGCCAGCTATTTATTGAGCTTTTGAAGTTATTGGTAGGACAGGCTAAACATTTAATATCCACCCCGTTGTGTAATGTGTGTTAATGAAAAGGCATCAGAAACGGGGAATATCTTGAGCAGGACGCCTTGAGGAGAGAAATGGCAGTTGGCAGGTGGAAAAAGAAGGGGGGAGCAGGTACATTACAATAAGAATACTAAGTTGCCTGTGGGCGCCATCCGTATTTTTTGTTTTTCAGTTAATAAAATATCACTATCGCCACTATATTACAGAGAGAAATAGATCATAGAATAACCAACTCTTCTATTACAATTTCAGAAATGTGTTTTTAAAAACCCTCTCATTTGAAAATGCCCTTAGTAATACCTTGTGCTATACTAAATATATACTATATATATTTATATCATCTATATACCATTGTGCAGTAAAAAATAAATTTTCCCTCAAAGTATGGACTGTAGACTAGACTTTTTTTTAAGACATGAAAAAATACTGCAGGCTTTAAAGCTCAAAATGAGGCCTTTTTTTTATCAGAACAGTGCATGTGACAACTATTTGCAGAAGCATAGAATTTTTGAGAAAGCAACTATGGTTCAGATTTAACTATTGTGGGCACATGCCAGTTCTTCAACGTGGCCTAGTATTTAGCATCATCCTTTAGTTAATGATAGCAAAGTTTCCACTTTGTATTGTTTTAAGGTGCTCAAGATTTACGTTACGAAAAAGTTTTTGATAGGAAACGAGCCAGCCCAGAACTTATAGACAAAGTGGAACTATAAACCTAAGCACACCCTTATTTCCAAACCATGAAACCAGCTGCCCAAAAATAAACCGTCTTCCGCTTTTCATTTTTCTTCGCAACCGCTTTGAGAATAGCGTGTACAAAATAAAAGATATTTCAGGTGCAATCCCAGCCTAGCTGCCCTTCGAGTTCATGGACGTGTTTGAAAACTCGATTAAATTGTGGCAAAGAGTGAAGAGAGTTAGGAACTCCTTCTGGGCTTTACACAGTGTGTGCTCTAGGACTACAATAATTCCCAGCAGAGCCCTCAATACACACAAAGATCCGGAAACTTCATCTCATAGACGGGAACAGATTGGTAATGGGGGCAGCCGGCGGTGATGGTCAGGGTCCCCGAAGGGCTGGGAGGGGGCCTGTAAAGAGAAAAACCTCAGGGTTATACAAGGCTGACATTCAGCTGGACATTCTGTCTTTCGGGCTGGCTTGGGACCCTGACTTTTTTTAATGAAGTCAGACCCAGAACGGCTTCAATTGAGGGAATGTATTTCTTCCTAAATTGTCATTTCTATTATTTTCTGACGGCTACTGGAGACAGTTTACGAACAGATAATATTTGAACAGTGAACAGTACATGGTGGAAAAGCAATCAAAGCCAACGGAGACTAACACAAACGCTGGTTAATCGAGCGATTGTCATTAGGGAATCAACATCGCAACAAAATATTACAGGTAGTCCTTGCTTAGCGACTGCAGTTGGGACTGGCGACTCCATTACTAAGGGAAACAGTTGTAAAGTGAAACCTCCTGTGACCATGTTTGACTGATGAAACTGCAGTTGTTATTAAATGAATCGCCAATTGGTCGTGAAACACCATGTCAATGGAGCATGATTTGTGACTTCCTGCAGGCTTCCCCAATGACCGCT